CTTTGTTGATTTACTTTGTCAAAATTTCAATTGATCGATGTACGGCGAGGATTATTACGCGTTATCTGGCGTTGCTTGCATTAAACTTGAAGTAATCGATACCGAATTTTATAGATATTTTACGTAAAATATTTGTTAAAAATGATGTATTAATGCTTATTTATTTTATTGCATACTCAAATTTACACATTTTAACTGATAATTAATGTTAGTTTCTACCGCTAGATGGCAAGTACCTTTATCTATAAATCTGCAAGTGACAAAGTCAAAATAATTATACAAGTCGCAGCATGGACATATTATTTTTTTGTCATGATAAATGAATTGCTAGACCTCAAAGAGGGTTTTTGAAAATGAGTACCAACGTCGATGAATGTAACGTAAATAGACTCATTTTTAATTACTGATATTTAACGCTAATTTTATCAAAATTAAATACTGCTCTAAAAATTGTTGAAAACTCAATCATTATTAAAGCCAACCTTCATCGCTAGATGGCGAGTACCTTTATTTAAAATTCTGCAAGTGACAAAGCCAAAATAATTGTACAAGAAGCAAGTACTAACAAAATTACAATTTACGAATTATTAAATTTAGAAGGAAACAAAACTTTCTCGCATTTTAAATTAGTTGCGATCGTTGCATAAGTAACAAAATAAGAAAAAGTAATTCGTTAAATATCTGGGCCATTAAAAAGTAACCAATTGAAGTATCCTCCATGCGCGCAAATGCAATGAAAAAAAAAGTCTAAAAAGGATCGCGGTAGTGCACGAGGCATTCTGCGGAGGCGTCATGCCGCACGACAACATTATACTCGCGGATGTATAGAAGCTGCGCGTTCATTCATTTCCTCCCTTTTTTTTGTCGTATACACGGGCTTCGCAGTTGCATCTTACGCATCTTCCATGGCAAAATTTATGAGAAACAACAAGGAGTTGTGACAACTGGCTTGCAAGTCCTATTTCAATGGACGAGGATCGAAAAAGAAATCCTTTTTTTTAACGCGGCTTTACAAGAAACGGAAATGAAAGTATAAACATTGTGCTGAGTGGAGATTTCGCATATTGCGATATGTGTATAAGACTCGGCACAGCAAGCAGCGAGTTATACGTATGCGTACATCATGGTTTGGTGCGTTTAGCAGGGTGGGCTGCTCATACACGCACCATCAGTCCCTTCGTTGCTCCCGTTCTCGTTTTAATTATAGCCTCTGTACGTATAAGCGCACGTATAAACATACGAGGGAGCGATAGTCGCTAATTGACTCATCGCTACAACTCGTCGAGTAGTTCACTACGCGGTGCATAATACGCATTTCGTGCGCGTGGGCGCGCGCTACGCGTCCGGATTTATAACAAGATATAATATAAAAATCAAATGAGGTTTTTTGTATTTACATGTAATCGACGGATAAGGAAATGCTTAATTTTGTCAATCGATTCGATAAATAGACACGCGACGCGATAGATGTAAACGTTGAAAAGAATATACAGCTGTATATGGTGTCAAAATGCCAACCCTTTAATATTATTCACAGCAGTGGTGACGGAGTGCACATTATTTTGTCGCCATCGTCAAAGACTCGTTAATATTTTAATATCGATGCAATGTGTACTTTAAGCCGCCGAAAGAGTAATACGAAGCGATACATAAATTCAAGCTCGCGTGTAAGCCGTGTCAACCCTTTGGCCGCGGCGAGTCGGGCGTCTATAGTAGCTCGTACGGCTTACCTTGACAAATCATTCGAATTAGACTGCTCTCGGATGCCCGAAACATACATATGTAAATGCCTATGTATTAATTCAAACGACCAACTGGCAGCCACGGGGATAAAGAGCCTAATAAAGCGCCACGAGTGGCAGCGTCCGTGGAGCGCACGGACAAAAGCAGAGAGAGAACGCGAAACTCAAGTGTGCAATGCGTACACACATATACACACACGCACGAGAAAGTACATTACATGACGTCGAGTATCTCTCTCTCTCTCTCTCTCTCTCTCTGCTTTTCTTTGGACCAACTCGCTGCGGTCTTTGCAGATCTCTATTCAGTCCGCGCGTGGGGAACACATGTCAATTTGACAACGGTAGCAGCAGCAGCAGCTACTTTAAACTTGTCACGCGCGTTTATATTATATGCGTTTGTCGCAACGCAACGTCCAGGTATTGTCTTGAGTAATAATATTATAAGCCACGCCGGAGTTGCTATGCTGTCGTTTCATTTCGTGAGCGATCGTTTAATAGGCACTATTGTCGCCCGAGTCTTTCATTCCTCCACGGAGCGATCCTTGCACTCGAGTACTCGCAATATAAATGTGTTCTGGAAGCGAAATCTCAAACACTCGAAGTAAAAATATAAATACGTTTAATTTTTTGTGCTGCGTTTATAAAACTATATATGCGAATATAATAGTTTAAAATACTCAGTTTTTTTTTTTTTTATTGAAAAAATTCTGACCGACTTTCAAATTCTGACCGACTTTAGCGCCATTAACGCTTCGATTGAATTATCGGGCGTAGTACAACGTGTGTACACGAAAAAATCGTCGAAATAGATACGCGTATTTAACTGACGGTGCGAGGCTTATGATCCCGCAAAGTGGCTCCCGTCACATATATTCTACGCCTGAGCGTAACAATATCCGAGGAGACTCGAGTAAGTGAAGCTCCGAGATGTATATATACGGGTTATTTCGGATTGGCTCCTTGTCGGCGCGCAAGGACGCGGCTGAAATCTATATACACGCACATAGCTTCGCGTACACAATAATGGCCTATTATTGGAAAATTGGATTCGGTCGCGCCGCATAGACGCGCTCGCTCACGGGGATTCGCTCCGTCATATTCTTCGAAATATCGGTGACATTGAGCGTGTCTTTATTATACCTATACCTGCGGTTTTCAGGCCGCGGCGGCTCGTCTGTACAATATATAATACGCGTACGTATGAGCGACTGTCAAGCTGCGAACACGAGGACGATCGTAAAAGCTTCGGATTGCTCTATGTGGATGCGAGAGAGAAGTGCCGTTGGCTTCTTTGTTGCCAGAGCTGTTTTGGAAAAAAGGAGACGCGGAAAATGATGAATACCGTATGATTTTGACGTACCGCTCGGCTACGCGTGTTTCTGGTAGATCTTGCTCTCCTTTAGACGAGTTTCGAGGCATTGTTGGGCTCTATGCAAAAATCGATTAGCCAGAAAATACCTCGGTATTGTATGAATGTAACAAAAGCCTAATTAGCGTCGAAAAATTATTTATGCGATTGATGTTTGAAAGATCCTTGCTACCCATACATTTTACGAGTGTAACGATCCTATGAGAAAATAAAAAGTTACGATTTTGTATCATTATTTAAAGGGGGGAAAAATGAAGTTTTTTCGCGAAATGACTCGGTTGGTGGTCAAAATAAAATTATTATACGATAAGAGAAAAGAAGTCGAGAATTTATTGTACAGGATGCATATAGCTGCGAAGCAGGGCGCGAAAGGGATGAAACAATCGCTGTGGAAGCAGCTTTTCATGCATTCATGCAACAGCATCATATCCATTATACATGTTGCGGCGACCAATAACACTTTTCCTATACATATCCTACATATATTAGGTAAAAGTTCCGGTCCTCTTGCTCCATATATCTATACGGAACTGCGCGGACTCTATGAGGGTAGACGGAAAGAATAAAATAAAAAAAAAGAGAGCTGCAGGGAGGAAAGAAGAGAGAGAGAGAGAGAGAGAGAAGTCGTAAGACGCGGGCATAAATTACCACGGACTATCGGTCCCAGAGGTTCTGGCTTTAGGAGTTTTTCTTTTTCTATAGGTCTCAGAATACACGGACACATTGGGATTTATATGGGCTGCAAGTGACAGAAGCCAAGGAGCGAGAGAACGAGAGAGAGAGAGAGCGAAAAGAGAGTGTCCTGACGTTATATCCTCGTGCCTCGCGTGCGCACGCCTGCGCCAGCGTCGTCGTCGTCGTCGTCGCACCGAACGAAAAAGGCCTTGGCTTTCTATAGAACAAAGGGAAGAAAATAGCGCGCGAGTCGAAGATGGCGGTGAGCTGTAAAAAAAAATAAAAAAGGGCGCGCTTCGATGTATTAAGGCGCAAGAGAAAGAACCAAAGCGAGGCCAAAGAAAGAAATTATATAATTGCGATAAAAAGACTGGCGCGAGCTATACGATAAGTGGATTAAACAGCGATGCGATCCAAAGTTCCAATTGTAACCCGTTCGATGATTATGAAGTATATAAGTCGCATCGGGATAAGGAGCAACTATATGTGCAAAAAGGCAATTATACGATCGGGAAAATTCGAATTCTTAATATAAAATGAAAAAAAGGGTACGCGCCAAGTTGCCTCGTTGTGCCGCCGCGTATGACGAAGAAAAAAAAGGAGACATACGAGGGAGCTACGTGTGTGCACTTTATATATTATAGCTGTATACAGGCAGGCACGATGCGATGAAGATGTACGACAATTGACGCGCTCCCACGCACATGGGGTAATTAAGTCTATCTCTCTCCCTCTCCACAAGCTAACAGTGTAGAGTGTGCGCGAGTATATCAGCATCACGAGTAACGAATCCATACATCGCTTTTAATTACCACTGCTCGCATACGCACATGTATGGGATGCTCGAGCCTCTCGTACCGTGCCTGTACTCACACACGCACACAAACACACACATTGCGATGCATCGACGCGTTATGCCTATACGCGTAACACGCCTCGCCAGATGAGATTCAGCAAGACGATTTCACCTCTTTCTCTCTCTCTCCCGGGGGGCGTTATTATTATTTTCAACGCGTTTATTAATTTTGAAAGAGGATTAAATTCAGTGGACGAAGAGGATGAATCGCTTTTTCGTGCGACTCTGTCGGTGCAGCTGTGGCATACTCGCATAATATATCTCGTTACATTATCTCGCCGCGATAACTCGATTATCGTGAATTTCGCCGACGATGATTCTTTGATATTTACGAAAATGTCCTTGCGTGTGTTTCCAGGTGTCGTCGATAAACAGGGTACTCCGAAATTTGGCCGCGCAAAAGGAGCAGCGACAACAGCAGCAGCAGCAACAGCAGCAGCAACAGGGTGGCGGCGGAATCGGAGCCACGGCGAGCGCCACCGGCGTCGTGGGCGTGGGTGCGGCCAGTCCCGAGAGCGTCTACGACAAGCTCCGACTGCTCAATGGCCAAACCGGCGGCTGGCCTCGACCTACTCCATGGTATAGTATACCAACAATAATAACGCATTAAATTATCGCGCATAATACGTAATTGGTGCCTTTATTCGCTAAATTAGCCTGAACACGCGAGGTCCGATGAAAAGAAGTGGCTCCGTGGCTCTCTCTAATTCTTGTACTAAACTTTTGTCACTTTTCTCCTGTGCGCAGGTATCCGTCCGGAGCAGGTAGTCCTTTCTCTTCGTTACAACCGAGCTTAAGTCCGAACCATTGTACGGCTCTCCCTCCCGATCCAGCGGACATTCTTCACGTGAAAAAAGGTAAGTTCTTTTCCTTCTGCTTCTTCTTCTTTTAAATTGTTGTTTCTTTTTTTTCACACAAATACGACGCGCGTTCATCCTCTTGCTACGTATATAGCAACTTGTAAAATCTCTCAATACTCAACTCGGAAATTTTCAAAGTGGACGCGAGCGAACCACGCGATACTCCGCGCGTCTACAGTCTTAGAGTCTTCGGAGTCTTTGTGCAAAAAAAAAAGGTACGGGGAAGCCGATATCAAAGTGGCGGTGAACGTATATATAGCTGTAAGACCATAGAGAGCCAAGCGCGTGGTATTGCATCGTCGCGTATAATACATACATACATACATATACAGAGAGCTCGTGGTCGTGCGGTGGCGACGGCCTCAAAACCGCACAGTCCGCAAGTTTGCCCGCCTACGCACACCTTTTGTGCGGATCGCACCGCCGCACGCGCCGCCTGCATCCATCCGTATTACATATATACTATGTTATCCGCATCGAGATGCTGCTGCCTCGCGTTTTCTGGTATTTTATTTTGTTTCACAAGCCGATCATAGTAGAATATTATACTGCAATCGTGCCGTCGATCATTTATCATTGAAAATATGTCGTAATATTATATGTAGTGTACGGTACATCGAGAATATTGCAAAGTGCAGTTTGCTCGCGTACAATATAATCCGAAAATTTTCAAAAAGCGCTTGCAGCTCATGAACTTACAGTTATTTGATCAAAATTCAATTTGATCGGGCGCAAAGAAAATATGTATTAATAATGTAGAAATTTAGCGGTGGCTCGCCGAAAATATCCCTGCTTGTCGTGAGAGAGAGAGAGAGAGAGAGAGAGAGAGACGGATGAGATTTTTGGCCTTGCTTTTTCTCTCCCTTTCTATCTCTGTCTCTCTCTTTCTCTCGCATTTATGTATTATACATATCTATAAGCATATACAACGGGCGAACGAGTTTGCAATATAACTGCTGCGAGCGCGAGTCTCTGTGTCTCGAGCGTACATACGCAAATTACACTGATATTAATACGCATCTCTCTCTGTCTCACCCTGTGTGAATATATACGTGTACGTGCGAGTGAGTATACGCGTTTAGAGAGAGAGGGTGGTTGGGAGAAAGCAAGAGAAAGCGAGAAATGCACGACGCGAGGATTAATTAATTCGAAGAGAGAGAGAGAGAGAGAGAGAAGGACTATATACGTACGCGACTACAACATGGGCACGGAGCACCGGCACAGACTGGGCAGCGGTCATGTACGCGCGCGATCATCGAGCCGTAAGAGGCTTTATTCCGCTCGCTCTGTGCCGACGCCGCCGCCGCCTATAACCTCTATATTATACGTATATACCACCCCCAGCACCCACACATTTGTTCTCCACCTACGCGTACATACGCCTGTGTGTATGTGTATGTTTGTGCGTTATACTATGTGTATGTGCATACTCGCGATTATTGCGCGATATACGTGTGTGTGCATGTGCTCATTTTGAAGGCGTGTGCAATATGTGTGCGTCCTTATGAATTTCCAGCAAAGGCTATATCGTACTACTGCCCACTCACACCCACGCGCATCGCGTTCACCTATTGCGATATGTGTAATACGGATTGTTCGTATACATTCTGTATATACAGAGATAACTGCGCATGTGTGTGTTTCGACTCGAGTCGAAATTAATAACGAGTGAGTGGACCGGCGCTGAAAATGATTTATAAAAATCGTATCATGATTAATAATACCGCCAGGCACATCGAGTCGAGTCTTCGGACTGCAGTTATATTTACTATTTATATTCTTCTTTGAGCTCTTTCATTGTACGCATAGACAGTCACGGCCTATACACCCTCGCCTAGATGCATGTATATATTATAATAATATACACGCGGTAGTGGCGAGCTTCATTGTACGGTAACATTTTTCACACCCCATAGCTGGAGAATCGAGAAGAGCTGCAAGTGTAAACTCGGAGCGCATATATCATCGACGACGACGGGCTCGATGACGGGCTTGTTTCGAAGAGATTTTCCTGTGTGCTCGTCTATATCCTCGTACACATCACATGGTCTGCTTGTATTGTGTGTGTGTGTGTGTGTGTCTGTGTATTTGTTTCGTTATAAAATAACTGCTTACATGGGGTCTTATCGGCTGACGCGCGCCAGTATCGATCGGCCGCAAAGCTTTGATGTATTTTGTCCTAGCGAGGTACGGTCTTTATGAGATGTAAATTTGTATTTTCGTGCAAAAATCTCGAACTCGCGTGTGTGCACACATGTGAGCAGGAGTGAGAGAAAGAAGAGCAACGGTGGAGGCACTTGGAATACAACATCGTCGACTCGGCGTACGCACACACACACACACACGCATGTGTACCCTGAACCCAGCGATGATCGCGCGCGTTCGGTAGTAGCAGCAGCGGTAGCGGCTTTTTCTTTGCCTGGCGGCACACATCAAACGGGGGCGAAATTTCTTTCCTTACCCGCGCACGCTTCATTCTGTGTATGTCTGTGTCTGTGTCTGTGTGTATGGATAGCTACATGCGGCTGTGCTCTCTGTAATGCGTTATACACGCTGCAGGATGCATGTGCGCGTGAGTCGCAGGGCGAGTTGCGGGAAGGGGGGCGCCTCGACGAGGCCTGAGTGTCACAAACAGCTTACCATTACCACCATGAGCAACACCCTCGCCTGCATAGACACACACGCACACATAGAGAGAAAAGGATCTTGGGTCGACGTACGTATGCAGTGCGCGAAGCATCCCCGCAAAATTTTAACCTTCGTCGGCGGAATTTTCGCCTCGAACAAATGAACCCTCCTATTGTTTGTTGTACATGATTCAGTTAAAAAAAAAAGAAAGAAAGAAAAAAACAGGAAAATTCTTGAAACGTTTGCACGCACCTCTGCCAAAACTCACGTGTTGTGTATAACGTGCTGAAAAATTGCCGAAATACGTATAAGTATGAGCGATCAGTATTCCGCGAGTATAGCCGGGGCTCCGATCAGCCTCGTAGCCGTACGTGCGCGCACAATCAAATATGTTAAAAGGGTTCGATATGTAAGAAACGCGCTTCTGCATGATGTACGACGTGTGCAGTTGTGATGTTGCTTACATATTGGTTGCGAATGCGGCACAGCAGCAACAGCAGCAGAGGCCCTCGGGGCCGGATTAAAAGCTCTCGGGGTGGCGCGCCGCAGTGTTTATACGCGGATAAAGCGGTTATCGGACACCGCGTAGTATCCTAACGATGCCCGAGGCCTGCGGGATTTGAGGCTGCCGATTGCTCTATTGCCAACAAACCAACGATGATTAGTCGCTCTCGGGCATATATTATCAATTTTTATATCGTCCGACGTTGTAGTTTCGAAAAATATTAATTTGCGGTATCGTCGCCTCGCGACGCGTGGGCGCTACGAATTCCCCGCAATTTACGCAGCCGAGCTCTGCCTCGCGCGATAATTTAAAAAGAAAAAAAAGAGGTAGGAAAGAAAAAGATTTAGCTCTTTTCATGCATAAGTGCGCGGAAAAAACCTCCAACCGCGCTCGCATCCGTTTCCCCGGCTGACGCGTATATGTATAAATTCTAAACTATACTGCTGCTCCTGCTCGCGCGTACACGTACGCGGATATACATATGTGCGCGTGTGGCAAGCGCGGGGCTGAAAAGCAAGAAGCAAAAGCAGATTACGTCGCAATCATCGCACGCTCGCTCGCGAGTGAGAAAGAGAGAGAGAGAGAGTCTGCAAGCCCATGGCTGATATACCTAGAGCGGTACGGTGCGCTTACACCCCTGCTTGCGAGCGCGGAAGAAACAGAGAGAGACAGATACTGAGAGAGAGATAGGCGGAACTTTGCCTGCCAAGATTTGCCGCTTAGTTTGGAATTTACGCGCGTTCCTCCCTCTACGCTCGCTGCTGCGAGCTCTCTACACGCGACTTAACTCGCGACTTGCTGCCGCTGCTTCCAAGACTCTTCTCTTCTATCCGCAAACTCCGCAGGCAGCAATGTGTATATGCGTAAATACGCGTTGGCGGGTATATACATCTCTTAAACTGTATAAGCGTTTATTTTGAGACTTACTTCGAGCTCCCTTTCGTAACGATTCCATATATCAAATGCACAACTCGCTACCCTTACATTTATGCACTTTTACATGAAAAATGATCTTTGTCTAGACGATGCAAGAAAGGATTTTTTCCTAATTCCAATTGCCACTTTCGGAACATCGATCTTCGATGAGGTACGAGAAAAAATCAGGATTAGTAGTAGTTTGAGCTCGTGTAAAATTTGATGAAAGTTTGAAACAGAAGCTTCTCATTTGAAACAGTAGCATCTCATAACGCAAGTAGCTATGTATTCTCACTGGGCTTTGGAGGCCATTATTGTCTGAAGACGCTTTTTGCTCCCTCTCTCTCTCTCTACCTCTTCCTTGCGTAAAAGTGCGTCCTCTCTGTATACGCATATAAGCGAAACAACAAAACTCGAGCCTGTGCTGCTGCGTATAAACGCACACACACGCACATTGTTGTATTCGCATACACAAAGGCCTCCGCCCACCGCGCGCCGAGCTAAGGCATTCTCAGGCGTGGCGTATATGCGAATATCTTTTTTACTCGTATTTGCGCAGCGGCGGCAGGCTGTGCTGCTGCTGCTGCTGCTGCTGCAGGTTGCAGTATGCAGAAAAACAATGCACACCATGGCGCGTTCCTTCTGATGGGAATTCTCAACAGCGTACGCAAAGGTAGCCAGTTCGAGTTATTCTCTTTTCCCTTTTTTTTTTACTATATTTCCAGCTCGTCCTTTGGGAATCTTTAGATGCGACGCATGTATACAATCGGAAGCTTTTTGCTTATGCATAATATTACCACATAACCTGTGGGATTTCTAACGATTCAAAGATGTTTTCGTGATTAACAATTTTTTCGCAATTTATCTACTTATTGAATCTCTTTGTGCGTGGACTGTTTCTCCACGTTGATGATACTATTTGACGGGAACATAATAATTATCATGATCA